TTGCAGCTTACAACGATACTTTTCAGCGAAGTGGGCTGTACTATAGTTCAGCGCCCAAGAGCAGACGCCTCACAGGTGAGAGGCTCATTGCTGACGCCCCAGAGGTCCAGCTTTGCGAGCTCTTGTGCTTTGCCCGAATCAGTTGCCTTCTTCGCCATTGATCCATAACATCCTTCCATCGCAAGCTACGCTCCGCGTCCTGCATCTGTTTCTAGATTCCGAGGTGTGGTCTTTTTGCGAGCAGCAACGCTCCTGATCATTGGGGGGATCGAGCCCAATCCCGGCTGGGGGGGCGACGAGGTAAGCGATTATGCGGCTCAAGGCAGGACAACGCTGGGAAGCGACATCGACAGAGGGTGGCCACTCGTCCCACTGCCGTCACTGGAGGTGAGCGCGCGCACAATCGCCTTGCAGCATCATCGAAGAGGATCCTTCCATGATTGCTGAGATCGCTTGCGTGCGAGCTGAGAAGCATGTCCAATCATGCCCAATCATGAGAAGCATGTCGTTTGCATGTTGGTGAGACGTGCGGCATCCCAGAACAAAAAAGGGCACAGATGAGGGAACCTGAGCTCAATATCATCGCCTTTCTGTGTTGTGCAGGAGGTTTACGGCAGTCCGCCGTCGCGCCAAGCCCAGAGCATGCATTCACAGTTCGAAGCGTGGAGGAGCCAAGCACGTTTGAGCGAGCAGGTGAGTTAGGAAGGTACATCACATCGGACAGTTGCAACGAGATATTACTGATCTTTGCATCCTGACCCCAAACGTCTTCAGACTGGCACTGCTTTCAGCCTGGGAAAGAGATCATTGAAGTCGCTGAGTGTCCCTTGCATAGCTGTCTAGCGCAAGCCCTTGAGATTGGGCCGAAAATGATGGCAATCTGCATGTTGTAAGCAGCAATTAGGTCTCTTTCTCAACTTGACTGTATCTAGTGGGTCACGTTCCAGCACTTTGTGAAAGCTCACGGCCTGGCTGGTTGCGGTCCGTGAAACACGTGTTGAGCGGCGCTAGTCGTCACCTTTGCATCAGGTTTGCTTAGAACTGATCAGGAACCTCTCATCCTCTGTCCAGATAAGCGGCGGCAACCAGCGGTCGGCTACGAGTGCGGCCAGTGAGTCCGGGTCCGAGCTGTCGGATATGGAAGACGAAGGCGAGGACATTGAGGGGGCGGAGTTTGAGAGCGTGGACGAGCCTCAAGACGTGGGAACATCCAGGGATCGCGCATTCATCGACGATGAAGACGCAAGCGAAGATGAAGAGAACGAGGTGATTGCGCAAGGCAGGTTTCGTGTTGCCAGAGGATCGAGCTCCGACTCGGATGTCCCTCTGCTTCTGGCTCGGCGCTTCAAGCCGCAGGCGCCGGGACGGGCGACCAAGGCGCTCCAAACAAGCCGCCGAGCCCGTTCTCCGCCCTCTTGGTCGAGAGCTTCGGCCGAGGAAGGCAGCCCTTCACAGGGCTTTTCCTCTACGGTGAGCGACGGGGGTTGGGCTGATCAGCAGCTGCCGCCCGCTACTGGTGGCCGCATCCTGCTGCAGCGCTCCGAGGAAGCCGCAATGGACACGGAGTCCGGGTCGGACGAGCTTCCGGGTTTCCGTAAGCGGCGGGTGCTTGATGGGGCAGCCCGCTCTCCACAAATCAGGCGGCGCCGTCGGGTGCTGCTCTCATCATCGGAGCCCTCGGGTGAGACCGGCAGCGTCTCGGCAAGGCGGAGCGGTGCTGCTGGGTCGGAAGAAGAGGTGCAGGAGAGGGGGGCCGATGAGCTCGTGCCCGGCGTCGGCGCCAGCTTCGACGGTTCGCCGGAGCCTGAAGACGACGGCAGCTTGGACGAGTCAGATTTTGGGGAGGAGTTTGCGACTCTGTGCGTGATCGAGCCGCGCCCGCGGCGAGCGACCATCAGTCGAGTGAGCACCATTAATAGGGTTGTTCGCGCTCTTCGTCTGTCTCGGCTCTTCAAGGCCTCATTCACAGTGAGCAGATGTCTGTATCTGTTTGCCGAGTCAAAAGTTGTGCCATTGGAAGCTGATATGCGTATGGAAAGAGGCAACTTTTGACTGGTCGGCGATATTGTTAAGATACTTTTCAGCGGTTGAGGGGGATGTTCAGTGGTGGTCGGAGTCAAAATCTGGGGCTTTATGGGACGCAAGTGCTTATTATGAGAAGGATTTTTGCCTGCCAGGCGAAGCCATGTCTGCGAGCTTCTTCGGGGATGGTCCGGTTTGTTTCGGAGTCAAAACTTGGGGCCTTATGTGATGCGAGTGCTTATTATGAGAGGATTTTTGCCTGCCAGGCGAAGCCATGACTGCGAGGTTCTGCCGGGGATGGTCGGGTTTGTTTCGGAGTCAAAACTTGGGGCCTCAGGCGATGCTTATTATGAGAGGAATCTTTGACTGCCAGGGGACGACATTATTGCGAGATTCGGCTTGGGATGGTCGGGATTGATCTGGAGTCAAAAGTCGGGCCTTATGGGGATGCGAGAGCTTATTATTGAGAGGGATTTTGACCGCCATGGTACGCCATGACTGCGAGATTCTGCTTGGGGTAGTCGGGATCGATCTGGAGTCAAAAGTCGGGCCTTATGGGGATGCGAGTGCTTAATATTGAGAGGGACTTTTGACCACCAGGGGAAGCCATGATTGCGAGATTCTGCTTGGGATGGTCGGGCTTGGTTTGGAGTCAAAAGTCGGGCCTTGTGGGATGCGAGTGCTTATTATGAGAGGAGTTTTTGACTGCTAGGCGGCGCCAGCAACTTTGGAATGGTCGAGCCGGTTCCGGAGTCAAAGGTTGGGCCTTATGTGATGCGAGAGCTTCTTATTGAGAGGGACTTTTGACTGCCAGGGGACGCCATGTCTGCGAGATTCTGCCCGGGATGGTCGGGCTTGTTCCGGAGTCAAAGTTGGGGCCTTATGTGATGCGAGTGCTTATAATAAAAGGGACTTTTTTGACTGCCAGGCGGCGCCAGCAACTTGGAATGGTCGGGCTCGTTCCGGAGTCAAAAGCTGGGCCTTATGTGATGCGAGTGCTTATTATGAAAGGGGATTTTGACTGCCAGGCGGTGCCATGACTGCGAGGTTCTGCCTGGGATGGTCGGGCTTGTTTGGGAGTCAAAAAGTTGGGGAGTTAAGTGATGCGAGTGCTTTTAAAAAGGGTAATTTTGACTGCCAGGCAACGCCATGACTGCAAGATTCTGCCCGGGATGGTCGGTCTCGTTCCGGAGTCAAAAGTTGGGGCTTAATGGGATACGAGTGCTTATTATGAGCGGAATTTCCGACTGCCAGGCGACGCCACGGCTGCGAGGTTTGGACCGGGATGGTCGGTCTTGTTCCGAAGTCAAAACCTGGGGCTTTATGTGATGCGAGTGCTTATTATGAGCGGGATTTTTTGACTGCCAAGCGGACGCCAGTTCCAGGTTCGAACAGCTCGACCAGTCAAAACTTCCCTTCATAAGCATTGCAGCTTTCTTCGGCGGAACTTTTGACTCGCCGCCAAGCTCGGCCATACCTTGTCGTTTGTGAAATTCGGCGACTGACAGCAACGACCATTCAAAACTTCCCCTTAGAGTATAAGCATTGCTGCTTTCCACGGCGGAACTTTTGACTTACAGAGATGGTCGGTCGGGTTTTAAAGTCAAAGCTTTGGGTTTTATGCGCTTCACGGTGCTTGTCTATAAAAGCCACATTTGACTGCCGGGCGGCGCCATCAACTTCCAGTTTCTGGCAGGCTTGTTCGAAAGTCAAAAGTAGGGCCCTGTTCACGAAGGGCGTGCTAATTTCAAGAGGAATTTTTGATTGCTGCGCTGCGGCTAACGCGTGCGCGCCTCGATGGATAGCTCTCACTAAGCCCCCCGCCTTCTTGCTGCCTTGCAGGATCCGGCTCCCTTCACCAGCGACCCGCACCCCCCCACCCGACCCCGCTCTGCTGCTACGGAGGTGGTGAGTCCACTTGACGGACGCTTCTCGAAGGCCACATAAGGCAGCTCCAGGTCGTCTTGATAGCGGCGGTCGTGCACTGCTGCCAAGGTTGCGCTCTCCTCAGCAGTCAGGGGCCGAGACAGAGCAAAGCGGCCGGTGAACTTGGTGTCGTAGCCCATGATTCGATGCCCTTCAAGAGTCAAAGCGTTTCCTTAAGTCTGTGTCCGTTGGTCGTAACTGCGTCGTCTGTGCGCCATTTGTCCCTAAACCCTTCATCCTCTTGCTGTCTTGCTGGAGACGGGCCTTTTCCACATCGACCCGCATCCTGCCGGCCAGCCTCGCTCCGGAGCGACAGAGGTCGCGCCTACGGTGAGTACAATAATTTCTCCTCGCCGTGTAGTCGAAGAACGCCTCGTTTGGGTAGTCGTACGAATCGTCTCCGATGCACAATGCAATCGGTGGGGCCATCTTGACAAAAATCTGGTTGCCGTTTAACGTGATAGACCCCGTGTCGCCCGAAAGGTTGTCTTCCAAGGTGACCGTCCCGCTCAGTCGTACTCCCCATACTTCAAAGAAGTTGGAAATGAAATACTCGAGCCAGCTGACGTGGTTGTAGAAGGGGCCCTTCCCGTCCCAAACAAGAGCGCTCTTGTCATGCGAGACGGTCCAACGGCATTTGCATGATGGGAATTCCTTGAAGATGTGCCATCCTTCCCCATTGCAGTAGGGGTCGACTCCCTCTCGCAATATCTTGATCGGGCGCTCCTGACCCGGAACCGCAGAGGGTAGCTTCAGACCATCCTCTGGGCGGTAGTCCTGAACAGCCTTGAGAATTGCGCTCTCCTCAGCGGTCAGAGGGCGTGACAGGGCAAAGCGGCCGGTGAACTTGGTATCGTAGCCCATGATATGTTGTCCTCCGGGGGCCGAAGCGTTCCCCTAAGCCCGTGCGATGCCCTCTCTCACTCGTTCGAGCGCTGTGCAGGAGGCTGTAGCCAGGACGAGGGCCGCCTCGAGCAGGGGGGACTCCCCAGCGCCCACTGGTTTTAAAGTACCGATCAGAAACCCGTTCGAAACGGTGAGCTACATCACAACTGGGGCGTGGCCACATGTGCACTAGTCTGGAGCCGGCTGCGCTTGTGCGACTTTTGAGGGGCGGGAAGCAACAACTTCGATTCGTTTGAACATTGCACTTTGGAATCATGTTCTGACTGTTTGGAGTGCCGGCCGTCGGTAGCGCAATCTGCGTAGGTGCGGGTGCTTCCATTCTTTCAGAGTCGGTCCACAGCTCGTAGCTCTTTGCAAAGAATCAACAATGTGTACAGCAACAATCGGGCTGGGATCACCAGTCGTAATCGATCCCCAAATCTAGGGTTCTCGTAGGCTCGCTTGTCACACTCATGTCATTACATGTGCATGCGCAGGCTGGAGGCGATGCTCAGGATGCGCCTGGAGGTCTTCCCCGCCAGGGGGCTCGCCGAGCCTCATCCCGTGGACGGGGCTCCGATCGTGCAGGTAAGTGTCCATGTTCTATGACCAGTTCACGGAAAAGACTACTGCTCCGGCCGGATGATACTGGAAGCTCTTCCTCAACAATCCTGAAAAACATTGCTGTCCCGCTGACGAGATCGATCCGGTCAGGTTCTTTTGAAACGAGCAAGCACGCTGGACAAGAATGTGAAGTCTTGGTCCCTCCTCAGTACAGAGTCAACAACTAGTCTTCTCCGTAGTACCCTTTGAACTCGAACGGCTCGACTTCTTTGTCAAAGTCATCTAGACCGAAGCCTCCACGCTCTGCATTTAAGAGCAGGCTGACATACGGCTCGACCGAATTCTTGTGAAAGTCCTCAAAGCCACCATTCTCTGTGAATTCCTTCAAGAGAGCCGGCCAATCCACCCCACTCGGATCACCGCATATGCCCATGCGCGATTGTCTTTGTGGCTGCTTCCAAGAAGAGCCTTGCCCTTTCACAAGTCTCTTGGTCGTTGCTGTCAAGCTTGAACACCTCTTGTACCAGCTCGGTCGTGATGGGCGTTCCCTTTGCAGAGTCCATCTTTGAGTCCTGAGGTCTGCCTTTTTTTGAAGGAACGTCCCCCTAAGTACTAGACGGAGCAGAGATTTGTCAACAAGGATCATCAAAGACTGAGTCGGCTTTCAATTGCACCTTATCAAAGCTTGTCCTTGACCTGATGAAAGCGTTGGTCCGGCCGGGAAGCTAGAGTAGCCTTCTATTCATATACCACACCTCTTTTATCAGCGTCAACACCAAGGAGCCTTCACAGCTTTTGATTGCTGGTCAGCCCGCTCCCAGGCGGGATGGCCGTCGGTTTGCTCGTGAGTTGGAATGTCTGGACTTGGACAAGTCGCTAATTATAACACCAACAACGAGAAACACCTTTGGACCCGTTCGTTTGTTGTGCTTTGCTCACATGCTCTCCGACCGTTGCGCGCAGGAGATGGAGATGGAGGAGATTCCAGAGGCAAACACCGTTGGGCAGGACACGACTGAGCCAGCTTCAAACGAGATTCAGGATTCCGCCGGCAGCCTGCTGGTGAGAACGTGCGCGACCTTGGAACAGCCCGCTGTCTTTTGCCTAAAGCGGCCACACGGCTTCCTGCTCAAGTCATTCTCTCGATTGCAAACATTGTGATTACAAGAGGCACTCGGCCCCTAATCTCCCTTTTGTGAACAATCACGGTCATTCAGATGCAAGCACGGTCTGACTACACGGGTCTCTTAGGCACATCTGCGAGGATTCCTTGAGATTGCTCTTGAGTCCAAATCCTCTGAAGAAATCCAAACGAGTCCCTGGGCTAGCTTCCAATTTGAAATGCATGTGCGGTTCAGTCATGCAGTCTGCTGACTGCTTCTCGAACATTCCACTCTGCAGAGGCACACGACGACCGTCTACGGCCAGCAGTGGTTCAAGAGCAAGGAGACTCCGACCGGCCGGGGCCCCAAGGACCTCGCCGTGGCCTGGAAGACCCTCCACGGCCACGGCATTCTCGTCGCTGCTGACTCCGCGTCAGATTCCGCTGCCAAGATGTTCACCAGCTTCCAGGACGTTCCTGCCCTGCTGGTTTACTGCGCACGCCTCCGGGGCCGGAGCAAGCACCTGTACGAGTGCCTGCTCGAAGTGACCCCTTCGCTGCTCTACTACGACCTGGACTACTACGTGCCTTCGAACGTGTGCGCGGGGGACTCCGAGGACGCGGTCGGGGCGCGGGACGCAGAGTTTGCTGAGCGGAAGCGGCACTTTGAGCGGCTCAGGGACGGGTTTCTGGAGGCGGTTCTGGGGGTGTCGAGAGAGGCGGTGCGGTTCGAGGAGAGCACTGCGCACGGAGGGGTCCCGGGGGGGTTCAAGTTCAGCGTTCATGGGGTGCTCAAGGGCTTCTACCTGGAGGACAGCCGAGCGCGGGGCCTGTTTGCAAAGGCATTCGAACAGTTCCTGAAGAACCCGCCCCCGCAGTTGGCGCGCAGCGCCGAGTTCGTCTGGACGGAGGATCAGCGGGGCCGCCCAAAGCTAATCTGGGACGGCACGGTCTACTCCAAGTTCCAGAACTGGCGCATGCTGCGGTCGAGCAAGAAGGGGAGCGACCGCGTCCTCGAGCCGAGCGAGGGCAGCTCGGAGCTCATTGTGGACCACCTGGCGGGGCTCTACTCGGCAGCGGCGCTGCAGTGCTGCGCCCGGCTAGACGTGGCGCGCCTCGAGGCGTACCTCCAGCAGCACGCGCCCACCCTGTCGCGGCCGCGGCGCCCAACGATGCGCGTGAGAGACGCGGGCCTCGCGGAAGATGGCGGGCAGAATCGGGCGGACCTGGGCGAGGAGGAGCAGCGCGTGCTGGTGGAGTGCTACCAGCAGGAGCACCCCGGCGCTACGCTCGCGCGCGTTCACGTGGTCGGCTCGGGGGTCTTCACGGTCCACTTCGACGTGCCAGAGCCCACGTGTCTCCTCGCCGGCCGTCCGCACACGTCCCCGGGCAACAACAACACGTACCTGCTCTACCGCCGAACCCGGCCGGGGGTGGCATTGTACAAGTGCCATTCCGCCACCTGCAGGTGAGCAACCACGGGCAACAGGGACCGCTTCAATCCGATTCCTATCTTCCAAACAACGATCCATGAAATACGTTTTAGGAGGCCCAAGGCTGGACGATAAGAATCAATCCGAATCGCCCGCGGTTTCTGCTTCTGGAACAGCTTCCGTCACTAGCGTCGTGAGGTTCTGCAAGATACTTCAGGGTCGACAGTAGGATTCGTTTGGCACTCTGTAATGCTAGACTCTTGCAGCTGGCGGTGTATCAGTCAGTCAAACTCTGCCCTCATGATATAAGCGTTGCAGCTTCCAATGTTGAAACTTTTGACTCGCCGATAAGCCCGGCCATACCTCGTTCTTTTCGGTAATTCTGTGCTTAGCAGCGTGTACAAGTCGAAAGTCCCCTCGTAGTATAAGCTCTGCAGTTCTTTTATGGCGGAACTTTTGACTCGCAGCCAAGCCCAAACCCGGCCATCCCTCGTCCTCCGTGAAACCTTGTGAATTACAGCGTCAACCAGTCAGAACTTCCCGTCAGATAATAAGCTCTGCAGCTTCTCACGGCAGGACTTTTTGACTCGCAGCTAAGCCCGGCCATACCTCGTCGTTTCTGAAAATTCGTGGGTAACAGCGTCGACCAGTCAAAACCTCCCGTGAGAATATAAGTATTGCAGCTTTCCAGGTCGGAACTTTTGACTCGCCGCCAAGACCGGCCATCCGTCTGTCTGTCCGTGTGTGCTTAGGAGCTCAGACCAGTCAAAACCTCACGTCAGAATATAAGCATTGCAGATTTCCAGGTTGAAACTTTTGACTCGCTGACAAGCCCGGCCATACCTTGCCGTTCGGGATATTCAGGGACTAACGGCGCGGACCAGTCAAAACCCCCCGTCAGAGTATAACCATTGCCGCTTTCCCCGGCGGATTTTTTTGACTCACTGCAAAACCCGGCCATCCCTTCTGTTTGTGAATTCCCCTTCGAGCTAAAGTCTTCGCCCTCTCGTTTTGCAGCGGAGTTGCGCGTGTGCTCCATTTGGAGACAGAGCAAATCACGGGCTGGACGGAGGATTATGTCAAGGCGGACGGCATGCACCCGTATCCACTCTTCTCCCTCGATTCCCCTGCCAAGAAAACGACCCTCGTGTCAGCCAACAAGGGCATTGGGAAGTCGAAGGAGGGAAACGACTGGCTGGAGAGACTTCTGCAACGGTTTCCGTGTGCGACCTTCCTCATGGTCGCAGCCAACGTCACGCTCGCTCGGAAGTATGCGGAGGATACACGGCGGTGCGGCGTCGCGGCCACGCTGTATCTCGATGTGCTTGGAAAGATCGAGGCGAACAGGGTCGTTGTTTGCGTAAACTCCCTCCCCAGACTGGCTGCGAATTTTGACGTGGTCATAATGGACGAGATGGACATGATCCTGTCCAACATGAACTCGGACGTCATGGCCCGGAAGAAGATGGTCTTCCTGGCGCTGGAAGGGGCGACGCGGCACGCCAAGGTCGTGCTCGGGATGGACGCGAACATCGGCAGCCCGCGGGTGATGCAGTGGCTGCACATGGTGCGGCCAGATGCTGCCTTGCACACAATCCGCAACCGTGGGGTGTACCCGGGAGCGCGGAAGGCCACGATCAAGTACATCCCTGCGACGGCGCGGTTCCAGAAGGACCCGTACGGCCCGGCGATTGCCGAGACGTTGGAGTCTCTCGCGAAAGGCGAGCACATCATAGTAAGTGTCTTCTCTCCTCCGACCCATCCTTGCGCAAGACCGAACGAGACATTCTGCCCCGCTCCTCGCTAAAAGAGCCTACGAAGAAGTGGACTCTGTGCTTCTAGATTGCGCTTGGTGAGCGCCTGCTCCACGTCCCCCTTGTTTTTTCAGATTGACGAGCAAGCCTTCACGCTAGATCTGTTTCGTTTTTCGAAGTGACTTCGTGCAAGCCTTTGCCAAGAAAGACGTCAAGGCCGCCCTACCTTTATTGCCAGAATCAAAGTCAGCTGATATGGCGGAATCTGCCAAGTCTGATCTACGCTTTAGAGAAAGGAACATCAGGACAGTCCGCTCTTTCTGACCAAACTCATTGAAGGATTTCAGTCTGATGACGTGGCAGATTTCTTAAACGGAACCAATGGGCTGCTGCCACGTCAGCATAAGGAATTCTGATTGCTTCTGCACGAATCTGATCTTGCTGGGTGGGTTTAAAGACGTTAAGACTGCCCCTCGGAATCTGTCCTGGTGGGCTTAGATGAGCGCTTTTATCTAGTGACGTGGCAGCTTTTCGAAGTGAAGAGGCCGTCACGTCAGCAGAAATGAGTCTTCGTCAAAGTTAAATGCAAGTCTGAACACAGACGCTTTGTTTGGACCAAGAATCGGGCCACCGATGCTAACGCCCGTGGGTGCCCCGTGGTTCCATTCCATTCCGTCCAATTCTGTTGGAACAGACATCTGAATTCGCCGTTTATCTTTTTGCAGGCGCCTTCGTCCAGCAAGACGTACGTCCTGAAGCTCGAGGAAGCCTTCAAGCAGCGGTTCCCAAGCGACGGCCCGACTGCCAAGTCAGGGAAGTTCTTCTACTCCAAATCTACGACGAAAGCGGCGAAAGCCGCTCTCGAGCTGGCGGTCACCGACCCCGACACCCACATGACGGCAGACCTGTGCGCCTCCTCCCCCGTGATCGGCCCCGGCATCTCGCGAGAGCGGCCCCACTTCGACAGGCTCATCGCTTTCGCCTTGAACAGCTTCGAGCGGGGGCCGACCGTCGAGACCTTCCTCCAGCAGCTCTTCCGCGATCGTACGGTCACCGACTTTACAATCTACGTCAAGGAAGGCGCGGGCCCCCGGTCGCTTCCCTCGACCGTGGAGGACGTTTTCTGCGCGATCGAAGACAACGATCGCGAGCTCGCCAAGCTCTTGGGCAGCACCGACCATCTGGATTTCCTGCTGGCCCCCTCCGGAACGCGGCCAGTCTGCAACAGGAACTCCCCCGCCTGCGTCCTGTATGCGAACAACGTCCTCACGGTCGCCAACAGCTTCCGCAACTTCCCGGAGCTCCTGCGCGCAGACCTGATCAAGCAGGGGTTCGTCGTCCACGAGGAGTACCTGGGCAACGAAGCCCCCTCTTTTCAGGTGCGCAGAGTGGGTCCCAAAGACGATGACCAGGACCTCGCTGACGATATTTGGCGCGCCAGGTATGTGGTCGATGACAAGGCGTATTGCAACCTCCTCGAGAAGGATGAGATCGAGACCCTGGACGAAGTGGAGGTGCGGCAGAGACACATCTACGAGTGCATCCGCAACGTGCACAAGGTGGATCCTCGTTGCGTTAACCACAACTACGAGGCGGTGCACTGCGGAAAGGAGCTCGTACCGTATCAGAATTACATCAGGTGAGCGAAGAACGATACAGTAATCCAAGCAAGCTGCGGTTAGGTCGATCTGAGATCGTGCTCAGCCCTGTTCTTTGGAGGCTTCCGAACCGCTTGCGTGATGAATCTCGCTTTGAAGAATCGACGCTGCTTTCGATTGCCTCTTGGATCAGCACGTCATTCTTGGATCAGCTTTGCCGTGCTTTCTCTCTGCTTTAGAAAGGGGTGTCTTGTTGCTGTCGGCTTTAGATGTACGGGTGCATCCAGATGACCCTGCAAAGCTCCCCTGTACAGGTTCCAAACGACTCCGTTCCCCGACCTCATTGACGACCTCGCGAGAGCCCTGAAAGAACGCGACATGGAAGGCGTGACAAAGGATTACGTTGCTGACATGGGCGACATGTCGCTTCGAGTGCCTCCTGCGGTGATCGTTCTGGCGGAATTGATGGGGTGCGGGCCGGAGGATGTGGAGAGGTGCAAAGAGGATGGGTTTCCGGTCGAGGAGGATGCATTTCAAACGGTCCACGACACGTTGCTCGCGCAAACGCCCAAAGTGCTCAGCTTTATGCACAATTTCTACGGGATTGATCAGACGGCCGAAACTCTAACGGCGACAATGAAGCGCAACGCCATCAAGAAGATTCTCCACATAGGCCTCGGGCTCAACCACATTCCCCCGAAGAAGTCGAACGGGAAGTTCGTAGCTGGCTGGCCCCACATCTTCAAGCCGCTGCTGTGGCAGGAGGTGCGAGAGAAGTACGGCCGACTGGTTGATTACCAGGCGACACAGACGGCGGAGGTTTGCAAGATAACGCCCACAGATGCTTTATAAGTGCTTCAGGAGGGGGCAGCATAAGTAGGTCTCTCGTGCAAAAGATATCAGTTATCTCTCTGTTCTGATTATTATGACAGAATAGACATTCTTGTCTGAGAGTTATCTGTTCTGTCGACCCTAGTCTTCTTTATTGCTCAGAATTGAAACCGTTTTGTACCATAACAAGCCAGCCTAGTACCCTTGCAAGTACAATGAATATTATAAACGAGGTTCCCCGACATCAAGACCAGACTACGATTCGGCATCATAGAATCGCCATGCTTGCATGACGCGCCCATGGCCCGCAGTTTACAAAAGACTTTGGATGACATGGTATATGAAGCTGCCAATCTGCACGGGTTAGAAGGCTCTATTGTATGGCTTTCCGATGCGAATTGACGGGCCGATCCATACCGCACTGCACTCGATGCACCTTGACAATACGATCAATTGCGTCTTTGAGATCTCCCGCCTCTCTGCCGCTTCTCGGTCTCCAACCGGCCTTCAATCCTTAGCGTCACACGAAAGGTAGTTGTACTTGTCCAGGAGGTGATTGAGTGACTCGACATCATGGTGCGGCTTGTTGAAGAAGCGTTTGTGATATTGGTGAAGGATATTGACACGAGACCGCTCTTCGAAACCTCCATGAGCCAGGAATGCCAGAAGAGCACCCGGCCAATCTATGTTGCCCACTTGTCGACAGCTCCCGAAAGCGCGAAGATGACGGATCACAAAGGCGATGAGATTGTAGAGCTCCAAAGCGGTCTCAATCGCCCATGAGTCATCAGTATTCATCTCGAAAAGATGCTTCACGATCTCTCCGTCGCTAATGAAGCTCCAGTCAAAGCTGAGGTCGGACGCCATGCTCAACAATTGGTTGGTTTTGGAGCAATTGCGTCTCCCTAAGTATGTCACTAATGGCCGGGCGTGACCACTTTTGCACGTTCTAGGTCGATTTTGCGTGTGGAAGTCACACTCGACATTCGTTGAATAGCATGCACAGCGGAATCTAGCCACGGCCGTTACTTGCCGCTTGAGCGAGGGTTCCGTACGTACTTAGGGAAAGAGATTGGGCTGATGATAGTATCAGATTTTCGGGCCCGTGCAATGGAAGAGCTTGCAGATGGACGCATCCGATGCCGAGCAGTTGGGGTGACCTTCGAAGGTCGTCGGAACCGGATTCGCATGCTTCGACCTGGTCAGGAGCTCATACTACGCAAGCATTTGATGGATGGATATAACGCACATGGCATCGGCATCTTCGCTCCTACGGAAGACTCGCCTCTGGGCTTTGTTGGGAAAGAGTTCAAATACCATAATGTTTTTGGCCCAATTCGGAGAGGGTTAGAGATGCAAGCACGAGTGCACCGCGTTAATTGGGGCCGCTATGGACAGTGTGGGTTTGAGGTGGAGATTCTTAACGATTCAAGCTCGAGTACAAGCTACAACCCTGCTTTGGACGACACGCTCTGCGAGATCATTAGAAGAGAGCGATCATAGTTTGAAGGACGATTTGTCATCACCGCGGTAGTGCAACGGTTGCCATCATTTTTCTCTATAGACGATAGTTGAACAGATTGTATGGATGCGATCCTTGGTTTTCGTCCTCATGCACGCGTCGCAATTCTTGACATGGACAAACAGATCCTTGAAAGTGGTCGGTCGGCAATTGTGAGGGCATATCAAGAATTTGGATCCCTTGAAACGACGTTGGATGCCATTGCGATGGGCGGCATCCGATGTTTAGCAGATCCGTTTAATTTGCCCCATATATGCAGAGCCCTCGTTCGCTCGTTGATTGCGGAGGGTTTCCAATCCTTTTGGGATAGAAGCAATGCAGATTGCCCATACATGGTGAAGGTTAGCTGGAGAGCTGCCCTGAGAAATGCAACTCAATCTCGGCGACGAGCCCGCAAGTTGCGAGTCGTAACATCCAAGGAGAATGTGCATGATGCTCGAGTGCTTTCTCCCCTCGACCACATACAAACAAGAGCAATATCCCCATCCTTCTCATCTCGTCCTCCGAGTGTCATCTGGACGGATGATAACGTGCCTGTGCTGGGCCTGGAGGAAATTGCAAACGTGAAACCGCTTCGAGGTGCTCTCGACTCTCCCAAATCCGCCCGGTCTGGATAACGGAATATATAAAAAAGCCCACTTTCCTATTTCTGTACACCGCTAGTCACATTATCTGGAGCTAGTAGCTTTTCGGCCGAAAAGTTACGACCCGTCTGGCTACGAAGCCGGCTTATACAAGCTTTTGTAACCAGAAAATTGACAAAAGCGACTTGGCATGTTGAATTCGTTCGACGATTTTTGAGACGTGAATAATCACATTATCTGGCGAGATGGGCGTTTGGCGTGTCAGAAATTTTATCTGCATTATCTAGAAAACCTGAAGATGCAAGTGCCCAGCGGAAGCACGAAACGTGTAACCTCCGTAACCAACGGTGAACGGCTGCTGCGCCAGGTCTTTGATGATGGCGATCGCAACCAAAACACGATTGCGCAATACGTGAAGCACGTGATGCGCTTGTTTGAGGGCTTGCACAAACAGAGCGACTTCGGCGATCTGGAATGGATCAAGAGTTCCGACACAATCATCAAATATTTTCAAGAGACCTACCCGGTTAAGCTCAGTATGCAAAGCACTGGTATTAATCCGCTTTTAGTCGTGTGCAGGAAAGCATTCCCAAATGATAAACGACTCTATGATGCGTACTACGAACGATTCACAGAGGTGCGTAGACTTATGGAAGAAGCACGGCCTCCGCCTCAGCAACTCACCGAGCGTGAAGCGGCCAATTGGAAGAATCTAGATCAGACTACTGAGCGCCGAGTAGAGCTCCAGCAATACGTGAACCGCAAGATTCTGCACAAACGACCAGAGGAGTTGACCATCGAGGACAGGATCATTCTGATCCGCCACCTCATCTTATGCCTCTTCACGTACCAACCAGCACCACTTCGAAATGACTACTCAGAGTGCCCGATCGTCCGTAATAAGGACATCGGGACCGCTGAGGCGCGCGAGCTCATGTCATCCTCTCGGAATTACGTGGTCGAATTCGAGAAGGGCCAATTTCGTCTCGTTTTAAAAGACTTTAAAACAGTCAAACACCATGGCGTGACAAGCATCGATATGTCCACGCGGTCCAACAGTGTGATTGCTGAAAGCCTGCAGGTATTTCCACGCAAGTACCTGTTATCAAGGATGAGATCTCCCGATCAGCCAATGACAAGAAATTATATGACAAAGTTCTGCTCGACCGGTCTCTTCAAGGACGCAGCCGTCGGAAGTTGCCTTTTGCGGAAAATTTGCGTGTCGAACGCGATGAAAGATGCGCCAAGCTTGCGAGAGAGGGAGGAATTGGCACAGCAGATGCTCCACATGGCGTCTATTGCTCAAAGAGTCTACGAAAAAAAGTACAACCCGGACGGTTCAAAGATTCAATTTTGACGGATATGCACATTTCTCAACTCGCTCAACGCCTCTGCGGGATTCTTTCATGATACTTCGATGCTCGTGAATGCACCCAGAGGAAGAGTGGATGCTTTGATTCCACTCTCCATGTCCAAAGAGCTAGTTATCTGAGGCACCTCAAATCCAGCATCGATCAAACGTCGCGCTGTGGATTTATGGAGCTTTTTCGTTCGGCCATTTATGAATCTGTAATAAGCCTTCCGTAACAAAATTTCGTCATGATGTCTGTAATAATATGCCCTCATATTTGCGTTGTGCTTTTCTGGGTGAATCTTGGCATATTCTCTGTGTTTTTGACACGCTCGACACGGACATGGTACATGCGCTCGAGTCTCCTCAGAGGCATTCAAGTTGCCTGCATCCATTTGTTGGACCATTTTCGAGTCCTGTTGATTGATGAGATTATTGTTTTGTTCTCCAACCGCACCAAAAATGGAGGTGCGTTTGTTTGACGTCAATTTTACCTTGCGCTACACAAGGACATGATGTCTGCAACAGGCCCAGAGCACGCTAGCACCCCAGGACCTCAGACGCTCAAGCTCTTCAAGTGCTCTGGGCTCCAGGGCATCCGAGACGAGATTGAGAAACTAGCCGCTGCTGGCCTTTATGCAATCCCGATCCGACTCTATTGGAAAGATGGCAAAAAGCAAGCCGATTACCCGCGTCGATGGGCGCATATCAAGGATCCTGACTCATGGCGCCAATCTTCTGAGAGCCCATTGCAGCAAGTGCAGCCTGGTGCTAACGGAGTCGCAATTCTCACCGAGGTCTCCAATCTAATGGTAATTGATATTGATGTTGCGGGCGATGTCATTCTCTCTCGGGTATGGAGCTTTGGAACGAGTTAGTTGCCAAACACGGCCAACCAAATACCTTGACAGCAAGGTCCGGAAGGAATGGGCTCCACCTCTACTACCGAGCAAATTCACCGGGATTGGTGCAAAAGAAGAACTTTGAGACCATCAAGGTTGATGGCAAGGTCTATGTTGTTGATGGACGTAGTATTGGTGGCCTGGTGTACGCCCAACCCGCAAGCTACATCAATGGCGAGGGCAAACTCGCAATGTATCAATGGCTGAACGGGCCTCCGAGCTTTGATGCGTGCAAGGAGATGGATCCTTGGCTCGTCGAGATCATAAATAATCGCAACGGTCAGCGCACAACGACAAGCGAAGACAAAGACGGGCCACGGAACGAACCATTGGCAGCGTCCATCGAAGCATCAGAATCGGAGAGTATCGAAGTCGAGCCCAATCGGCGGCCGGCCACAAGCTCTGAGTCTCCACACGGCAAAGAGCTCTTGCTGGCGGGACTTGCGGAGATGCTGAGGGAGGCAGGCGATTCGACGAGCACGTACGCGGGTACTTTGCCGCATGGTTTGTACGGAACGTACTACTGCTATCGCACGCACGGGCCTCGAAGGTGCCTCTTTGGCCACATGCACTCGGGAAGCAACAACTTTAATCTGCTCAAGAGGGGCCGGATCATCTACTATCGCTGTCATGGTGCCGAATGCAGCCACAAGCCGGCCTAAAAGCTTGGGGTCTTGGACGATCTCAAGGCCGCCTTGCAGGACGCAACGACCGAGCCTCCCGTGGATCCCCACGACGACATGCAAGTGATTACTCAGTACACGAGAGGGACTCGAGAGGTCCAGGATTTGCTTCTCAAGATCGTTGTTGAGCATGCGGCTCCAAAGGCGTACGCCAACCTAGGACGCCTCTTTGCGTACATGTACATGATCGAGGGCCGCATTCTGGCGACCACCAACGATGCAGAAAAGAGCCGCGAGTCGCACTTTTTTTTCTGGAATGGTTCTTCGTGGATCCAAGATACCTGCAATATGGTTACGAGCGTCTTCACAAGTCAGATGGGCTGTTTGCTGGCATGGTACGAGCGACAGCAGGAGAGATATTTGGGCACTCTGTACTCGAAGCACCGAGACTTGCAGGGCTACGTGGTGGATGGCAATCTCAAGCATCTCGACATCGAAGAGGTCAACTCCACGGTGCTGAAGAGAATCAGGATGGCCACGGAAGCGTGCATAAAGGAACGAGACGAGAGCATGCCCAGCTTTGGCAAGATCAACGTGCAGGATATTGTTGACGTCCGAAAGTGTATGCACTCTGTGGTCAACAAGCTGCACGTCCCCGGATTGCTTGACATGTTCGATCAAGACCGTATGGTGGTGAATGCGCCAAACGGGTTGATCGATCTTCAAACAGGGGCGCTTCTACCCCATCATCCTCAAGACCTCTGCAATAACATGACGTGTGGGTATATCCAAGGAGCTTCAACGCGGTCCACTGCGAGATTCCGGAAGTTTCTCATGGCCCATGTTCTTCCACCAAATGCAATTGCGTGGTTGCAACTGTTGCTGGGGTACTGTCTCACAGGAGAGATTTCCGAGGAGCTCTTCATCATCGCAGTCGGTCTGGCGGGGGCCAATGGAAAGGGGGTGCTACAGAGAGCGCTTCGTAGAGCAATGGGGACGTACAATTGCGCTGGAAATAAGGCCATCTTCATCAAGCCAACGTTCAAAGCCAACGCATCAGCAGCTTCAACCCACCTTATGCAGATTCGGACAAAGCGTTTCGTTACCAACTGTGAAGCTGACGGAAGCGAGGAGCTCCATGCGACATTTGTGAAGGAGGCGAGCGGTGGAGACGAGCTCGACGCACGCGAGCTCTTTTGTAAACCGCAGAGCTATGTGCCTCAATACAAGCTTTGTTTGTTCACAAACTACATGCCCCATTTTCCTGGCGACGATACCGCCCTCCTTCGCGGATTGTGCTCCTGAGCTTCGACTATGTTTTCAAGAGTCCGGACGAGCTCGACGAGAACAATAAATCGCACAAGCCAATTGATTTGAGCATCAAGCCCTACTTCGAGTCCGACGAAGGCGCGGCAGACCTACTTGATTTTCTCGTTCAGGGCGCAGCAATGTATTATGCGAAGAAGAGGCTTGCACCCACCCAGAAAGTACTCTCGCCCGTCCCAGAGGCATTCAAAACAGCGGCAAAGGAGTTTGCAGATGAGAACGACAAACTCCAGGCGTTTATAGATGATTGTTGCATTACAGAGGGTCCTGATTTGAAAGTCGCCAAGGCTGATTTCGTCGAGGCCTTCAAAAACTTCCTATATGCAGGTGGGCACGACACAGGCTTGGCTAGAGATGGGCTGACACGAGCAATGCGCGTGAAAGGCTTCTTGCAAACGCCGCCGGACGGCAATAAGGGGATTATGATCCCGATGCGTGGCAATAGTAAAGTTCGGGGAAGAGGATACTTTGGAATCCGTTTGAAAACCGATGATGACATTTAAGAGGAAGAAGAGAAAAGCGCCGAAGAATTGGCCGCTAACGAGAAGGATTAAGAGTCGAAGGGTTAGATATTGATCAATCGAGCACGTGATACAGATGATACACGAAATCGGCCATTTCAAGTGGGCAATGTATCAACGTTTTATTGTTACTTTTTCTTCTCTTTGTTCCGCATTTTGGTGCGGGTTCGGCCTTCAGGTATGCAGCATTGTGTAGGGAGTGGGGTTAAAGATTGCAATGGGTGTGCTGTTGTGTCGATGTGCCTTTTTTGAGGTGATACAGATGATACAAGATACACACGTAAAGTGTATAAAGAATTTTTAGAGAATAAATACGTTTCACATATATAGGAGCACATGCAGCAAGAACGTGTATCAACCGTATCAATCGTATCACACCAGAACAGCCCCATTGCAACACAATGCTCATGCAGAACACAAGAAAGTGCCCCTTTCTCGACCACAGTTAAGGCCGTTGCAATCACTTTTACCTCATCAAAGAACACATTATGTACCGTTTGGAGCATGATCTAATACTTGAGTTTTTGTATCAATGTGTGTATCATAAGGAATCCACACCATATGTGTAGAAAGCGTCCTTTCTGAGCTTCAAATGTTCACTCAGCTGCATGGATGTTCAAAATGGTGCGTAACAGAAAGAGATCAATTCAGAAGGACCTCAACATTGCCCTCTCTTTATCGAGTCTCTTAACGGATTGCTAGCCTCTCTCCAGTAGACAGCGTACTTTGAGCGCTCAAACAACGTGTCGAGGATTGTCGTGACTCTGCTCAGCAGCCGCTTAATGCTCGTAATCTGCTGGAGGCTCGCCGCACATCTTTTGAGCCCGGAATTGATCCTCTCTGAGGCCGTCGTGATCGTCTGGCGATGTTGCGAAAAGCTGTCAATGAACAGTGTCGGAGCGCACGTGTGCGTCGCGTAGCGCTTTGCGCCAGACGGCGCGCAGCTGACGGGCCCACTATGGAATCTGTCCACAACAAAACAGACAAACTTGGCCATCGAGGGCACCCGGTTGAGAAACCACTCTTGGGCATTGCAAGCCGCGTCCTCCACGATCGTCAGCCCTCGAAGAGTCTTGAACGGGAAGCGCGTGATCAAGACGGTTCCCATGTCACAAACCGATTCGCCCCCTTTTAGCCAGTGAAACCCGAGGGGCGCCCGATCTTGACAGCACGCGATGAAAATCCCGGCGCGCCCTTTGGAGGATCGAGGGTTGGGGGCGCTGCAGTGTTGGGTGAGCCGCTCCTCCGAACCCCTCTTTCCCCGACCGGCTTCGTCTTCCCAATCGACGAACCGAGGCCGGCCGTACAGTAAGGGATGGAACGAGTAGGTCGAGACGGCGCCGGCCCGCTCCGCGTAAGTCGCTGACGGCGCTCGAAGGAAGCCGCCCTCTTTGTAGCACAAAGGCTCTCGAACTTCAAGCTCAAATAGAAGCGAGTTGGCAGCCCCCTTCAATGCCGCCCCGCGCTGCTCGGCATACTCCATTGCGGCCCCCTCCAGCTGACCCGCAAGCCTCAGCTTCTCGCCTTCGATCGCCCAGAGGTGCTCGGTCGCATCATGGAGGGCGGCCAGAGGCGACCGCGACAAGGGCCCTGGCCGGTTTGCGCTGGGCTCGAAGCAGAGGAGGTTCGTCGCGTAGATGTCGCGCACGATCGGCCGCAGCGCCGCCGGAAAGGTATACTGTCCGCCAACAACGGGATGGAGGCGCAGGACGGCCGCCAGCATAGGGCCGTCGTTGGAGAGAAAGGCCATCCCTCGCGCATCGAGAGGCCCCTCCAGCAACACGTGTCTCAGCAGCTTCAGAGTGACGATGCGCCCAAATACCCAGGAATACCTGGGGATGAGGAGGGCATGGAGCAGGGCTCCATACGGCTGGAAGTGCGTGGGGCACCAACCGGTCGGCCCCACCGGCCCCTCCTTGAGAAACCCTTGCATCCAGGGCCGCCTCGGGACCCCCCGGCAGACGGCACACGTGGCCGGGTCAACACAAGCCCCCGACTCGATCGCGAGGTCGACCAAAGCAGCAACGTTGGTCGGAAGCCCCTCCCGCATAGCGACGAACTCCTCCGGCTTTAAAGGCGCGTTGCTCCCTTGGGCCGGGGCCTTCCGAAAGTTGCACCAGCGAAGCGCCAGCGCCCGTATTGCCGGCCGTAGCTCCGAGAGGCCGTTCCGGTACTTCCAAGGGCAGTCGATCCCCTCCAGCGGCACGTCAGAGGGACGCACCCCGCCCACGCTTAGCGGAGTGAAGCCCCCAGCAACCCTCGGCGCCTCGGGGTCCGGCTCACAATTGCTGTGCAAGGACGCCTCCATGCCAGAATCCCGCATCGCGCTTGAGTTGGCAAAAAATGTGCCGTCGAAAGTGATGACCTTGTCCCGCCTAAAAGCGTAGGTCGACAGCTCGGAGCTCGGCCCCTCCGTTCGCTCCGGCCTCAGGGGGGTGCCGGCCGCACGCGCCTCTGCCTCGGCCGCCTCCACTTCGCTCGAGTAGAGATGGGAACAATCCAAGCGCGAGCAGACGTGCTGGATCCTCGAGCGTGCTGCGAGGTCGTTGAAGGCCTGCATGGCGGCGTCAAAGACCCGGTCGTCCAGCCTGGAAACGTCCGGCCCCTCAAGGCTCCTTGTGGCCATGTCACCGGCCTCGAAGTTGAGGCTGTGGGCTGCTCCAAGGGCTGCGGCAAAATAATTGCGCAAGAGGAGCCCGTGCGAGATGAGGTTGGTGCCGGAGAAATTGAAGATGCCGTCCTCCTGCAAAAAGGAACAACATCACCGTGGATATGCGTTTAGGAGAGCCTTCATTCTTTCCAAGACTTGAATACAGCAGACCATGTCTTTGAACGAAAAGTTTGCGTCCGCTTTGAGTATTGTCGGCCAGAAGGGCTTGCTCAATCTTCAAGATTTGGGTGCTTCAGCCTGTACCTGCAAAGATACTCAAGCTGCTATTGGAACAATGATGCACGACTTTCCTTTCTTGAGCAACAATTCACCCGGCCCGCTTTATGTCGAGTCGGTCTTGCCTCAAGAATGTTGCGCATTATGCTGCAGTGCGTGGACTGATTTGCGATGGCCCATGGATCCCCATAAAGGGTTGGCAACATGTTTGAAATGTCTGGATCTTGGACTGCACAGCGCACTTGATTGTCTGACCACAACCGAGGCTCGAAAAAAGTACGAGATCAAAGACCTTGCTCCGCTTCAATGGACCTCTCATCCTTTGAAAACGGTTCAAATTCGTTACTATCGGGAGGTCGACGTACGTGTGCTTGCTATCCGGGAGCGAGGAGGTCCGGTGGGCTTTAGGGAGGCTCAAGAAGCTCGACAAAAAAAGATTATAATGCAACGGAGGAAAAGGCTCGTCAAGCATTACGAGGATCTTGCGAACCTAGGAAGGAGCTTCCAGACGCAAGCCATACTAGCTGGTCTCAATCTGCCAGAGTGCATTGACCTTCGAGCAAAGCTCGAGAGCCCCAAGGAAGAATCCGAGCGCATCTTTCGGGAGGAAGCGATTCAGCAACTCTCATTCCTTCGTCGTATGGTGCCCTTGGAGTCTCCGAAGAAGTATTTGATGTTTTGGACCGAACCAGACTACTCGCCCACTATCAAAGGTAAGTGCAATATTGACTACCTCAAGGGAAATGCTCTTTTACCTTCGGAAGCAGCATACAAGCGATATAAGGACTCTGTACTTCATCGATGTGCCATCAACCCGTGTGATGAAGGTGTTAGCTCTCACCTGGCCGTCGTAGGCTACTAAGCAGCAAGCCGCCTCTCGCCCTGGGGCAATGCGGCAGACCCTCCGATAGGTTGTCACCTCGTATCTCGCTCCGGCCGTTGTCAGCGCCCCCTTCCGGCTCTCCACTTGCCATGGTCGGCCGCATGGCGAGAGCGCCTCGGCGGGGCGTGGGGCGCAGAAGTACTTTGCCTCGTCCCTCTTCCGTACACCCTCGTCTCCCCACCGCTCGCAAAGGCTCACAACACTCGCTCCACCCTGGCTCATGACCGTGTTGACCTTCTTGTGGCTGTGCCCTATGTCAAGGGCCGCCGCCGAGAGACACTCCCAAGGCTCGAGCGTCCCCCGGTGCGTGCACACCACCTTTGAGTCGGGCCGACGGCAAACCGAATCGTTGCACACCAAGAGCCTCCTCGCCCCCGCTTCCCGTTGCGCGACTCTCTCGGCGCGTCTCTCAGCAAGACTTTGCGTCGCCTCGCTTTTGCAACCATCGATTGCGCGCTCTGTCGGTGGCAAAGTTTGCTTCGAGAGCACCCTTAGAAGGTGCCGGCAGCGTTCCAAACCCAAGCAGTCGATGCCGCTGCAGTGCGCAGTCTCCCCTCCAAGCACGCAGACCACGGGCTCCTCTCCAGGGTCGCTCACGACGAAGACCCGCAGCTGCGGCCCGCCCTTCCACGCCCCTGCGTCCAACCCAAACAGTGCACTCCCCACGCACCCCCCTTGTTCCAGCGGCAGCACCCAAGGCGCGCCGTTGGTCACCTCCCGCGCGAACGAACGGCTGTCGTCAAAGGCCGTGAAGATGGCTTCTCCATTCTGCCACCAGCCGCTCATGGAACGGGTCTCCTCCAGGAACGCCATATCATGATCACGGCACCCCCTCCGGCCGCAGAGGCACCGAAAGCTGCCCATGTGGTCGACCTTGACGAGCCGTGGGACGTTAGTGAGGCCCCGTTCCGTCGCGGAGACTTCCAGAAGGCGGCCACTAGAGGCGTCGAGCAGGGCACAAGAAAGAGGCCGGGAGCAACAGCAATCGGGGGGATCTTGCTCCGACGGAGTTCCGACAGGACCGCCAGCGTGCCGAGCTCCCGTGGACTTGGCCCCTCCTCGAGCGTTCTCTTGACACCCCGCCTCGAAAGGGCGGCCGCCTTGGACTCGCGGCAGTACGGACACGAGGCGAGGTCCCTCCTCTGGACGAAGAACTGGTAGCCGCCCTCGCTCGCCTCCTCCCCTGACCGTACCTCTCGAAGCTCCTTCGTACCAGGGAAGGCTTCGTACTTGGTGAAGAGCTCCTCCTGAGGAACAGGGCACCCGCTCGCGCTCGAGACAAAGGGGCGTCCAACTTCATACTCGGCATTCACGCACCGCAGGCACAGAAGGTGCCTTCCTCCGCCCCGGCAAATGAGTGCCCCGCCCCGATTTCGTTTCCTCTCCCAGATGAAAGGATTGCACCCTCGAGCGTAGACGGCCCCCTTTCCGCCACAGGTGCGCCCAAGGCACGTCGAGCCGAAACCGCCCCGTGCAAAAGCTCCGGCAGGCCGCAGGCTGAAAGCGAGCCCGTAATCAAACGCAAAGTCGACGGCCCCTCGCTTGGCCGCATAGGAAGCGTGCCCTCCCCTCACGCCCCCAGCATTTGGCAGGGGCGGGACGGCAGCCGGGACGCTCTTGATGTCGCTGAAGAGCGGGGCCGGGCCCTCGAAGTGGACCGCTGCGCAGCTCCTGACGGTTTGACCGGCCTTCAGGAACTCGTGTAGACGCTCTGAGGCTGCTGGCGTGGTCGAGGCAAGTAGAATGCTGCTCGTAGCTTCTGATGGTTTTGCAAGGTCCATCCTGATTGACAGAGAAACGGGAGAATCTGACGGTTGAAACACCTGGCAGTTTTCGATCTCCCTAAGTCTAAACACACCCAATTTGATTGCACAGTTGTGAGTAGGATAGCTTCCTCAATCCCTAAGTATGTTTGACCCATTCAGAGCCTCTTGCAGAAGTCCTCTGCGGCTCCGGTGTCTAGGGTCACGAACAATCCGTTCCCACGGCGTGCTTGATGGACCCGGCATACCCACAAAGATGTACCAAAAAACGCCCAATAGATTCTTATATGTAATACGTCTTTTCTTGGTACAGGGTGATTTTTGTGCCCGACGGCTGGATTTCCGTTTCAAGGGGCGAGTCCGGCCATGCCCTGCAACATGCACAAAAGAACGTTGCGCGATGGATGTCTGCCAGCAGCGGTATCGCGCTTGAGGCGCTTGATCTAACTCGGAGTTCACAAGCTTAAGGCAAATGCATGAGTCTAAAAGGTCATCTGGACGGATGGAACAAGGCAAGTCGCCGAAATCAACGTGTCGCTTTCTGCCACTGCCTCTCTGTAGAAATCTGTTTGGCATCGACCGCAAAAGCGACCTGGACAAGGACGACTATCTGAAGAGGTGCCGATTCGTGTCGGGTGTTGTCATGGGAAGCGGCTGGGATTTGAAGCATCACATAGACCTGCTCGCGTTTAATCAGACCTTTTGGCCCCACTGGCAGGCTTTACATGCAGAATTCCAAAAGAGCGGGGGTTTCGAAGACCCCGAGTGGCCCATCTACAACCTCAACGACAACACGCTCTGCTTCGAAAGGTTCAAGAACAACGGAGAACCGATTCAAAGAATGGAGACATCAAAGACCTTCTACAAGCCAGGCCGGGCGCAGATGCTTGGCAAGGACGCGCGTAAGGGGAGTTCGGGGAGTCCAGCTAACGTTGTTTAGATGCTCACGTTATCAGAGAAGACAAGTCCGAGTCGTCATTCCGGACGGCATAGACTTAAAGATCTGGACATGTGAAATATGAGGCCGGCTCGAAACTTATCATGGCAAAATTGCTGGTCGCTGAAAGGATTCACGTTCTTGTGCGATACACCAACGTGTCATGAAGAAACTACCCAAACACATGCGCCAGACAATCAACGCACAATGAACATGCATCAGATTGTCTGCATGCACTGGAGGCATTAAAGGCCCTGCATGAGCATCCGAACCTCCAACAGGCTTTGATTGATCTGATGGGTCCGAAGCTGACGGTACTCACTTTTACTTCTTCAACGTGGGGCCGATCGCTGGCGGCTGTGTCTTGCAGCTGAGTGTTGATGCGTCATGGGACGGGCCGCCCAGCCATACCCTGCAAGGTGGTGACCAGAAGG